TATCAACAGAAGAGGAGGGAGCCCCAACAATACTTCGCTCAAACGTGTTGGGTAGTACTTTGGTCATAGCAATTGACCGGAATTTACTTTTTCTTTAGATACTAGAGCGATGCGCGCATCATGCTATGTATCAGCTGGTCTACCTTCTGGCACAAATTAGGGGAAATGAAACCATTTGTGTTAGGTAGTTCGCACATATTTTAAGACAAATGGAGACAACCCGTCTGGACCAGAGTACATATTGTTGTTGACAGCATTCATCTCGTTTAAAATTTGCTCTACTGTGACAGTCGCAGGATGATGGGGACCAAGATTTTTTGTACCTGGTGTCGGTAATGCTTGCACAATGAGTACTTTTCCCTGCAGCTCATTTATGCCACATGGGACTGTCGTACGTCGAGATGAACGACTGCAAGGCAACTTCTGTTCGTTCCAGAGCTGACGGCCGAACGTGCCTCTTTGCTAGGTGTCCACATGCAGTTGATTGAGATGGTCTATCTCGCTCCCGGTAACTTTAACAATTAGCTTACCTCTTGAGCGATAGGCCTTCTTTTTCTTCACCCTTCATGGTCATTCCAGTTTGGTTGTGGGTTGATCCAAACCTGAGGATAGCACACGATAATAATTGGTAAGGTTTTCACAGAAGTAGTTTTTATATCCGTATAGGCAACATTTGATTCTAATTCCGTCAAAGTGTTTTGGTGATGATACTTGTGCTGTCACATTTTTTTTTCGGTAACTTACCCTCGATAGCTATACGCGCGATGTGGTCAAATGCACTTTTACGAATGCGCATGTCGTAAATACAACATATTAAATACGCTATCGAAATCTATAAATATCATGACTATAGGTGCCTTGGGATGCATGGGAAACACTAGTTTAACTGTTATGGAAGTAAACACTGAATTCTATTCACAAGTAGTCTGATGTAAACGATGGAAAGAACATTAATTACGAATGGCAATTAACCATACCGTACACGTACACTGTGCTTAGTGAGGATATTTACCATGAGCAGAACTTGAATAAGGTGGTGATCAGAATAACCTGCTGGTGTACGTTTGAAGTCACAAAATACTGATCCTTATTGGAAAATCCAACAATGTTCTGAGGAGACAAATGTGTAAAAACTCATCCGATTTACTGAAACCACCAGCAACGATATAAACGACTGGCAGTATCCAGGACGGTAGATGGCTCACCGGATTACAGTCAGGAGCTATGTGAAGGTTTCAAATAATAACCGAGGAGCGACACGTCGGGAGACAGCGGTTCTTTCATCGATGGTATTGACAACCGGGCGGTTGTGAAAACGATGTGGTCAGCTGCGTAGTAGGTGCCCTTGACGACCGATTGGTAATCAAGCAGCTGATGTTGTCCCCCTTGAAGGGCAGTTGCTGGACCACGTTCATCTTATCTGCACCTGGTCTCTTTTCTCGAGTACGGTTGGGTTGGGAGATGAACCCTTTCGGATATCCGTTAGAGTGTAAAACATTTCTGATCTTGTCATATTCGTTATCCAATGTATCCGTTGTGCAAATCAGCCGCGCCCTGTAGAAGAGCGTTCGAACTAGACCAATCTTATAGCCTATTGGAACAAAGATCGTAAAATGGAGATATTGTCCGGCTAATTTCTAACAAACGCTGACGTGTCGTAGATAACCAGTAACCAAAGCTGATGCACGGAAGTGCATGACTAATTGTCCTATAAAGTACAAGCCTCAAATTGTCACTGTTGCTCACCCTATTAAAAAACGTCATGAGTAATGTTTTGTAAAGCTAGCAGTCACATGCACAAAGAGTTTGCACATCCTGAATGCAGATCGGTTTGTTTTCACGGGCAGCGGCGGGACAATATGCACCAACCCTCCTGGTTTCAGTGTTTATCGCCTGTTACATGACTTGTGTCGTCGACGATTTCACTACGTCTCACCTGGTGCATACTACATACATTGTTTATACGCCGCTATCAAATGTCTTCCAAATAATTGAAATCCAGTGTCAATATGGAATAGGGAATCACAACTATGGTGAGGAGTAAGTCGTTTTGTGGACGTCACCTGCACGTGTTTGACGATTGTAAAGCTCTGTATTTTGCGTGTGTGACACGTCAGCAACCGACCGCACTAATCCTGACACAGTAAACTATTTTAACCCAAGTCGGATATACGCCGAAATTGATCACGTACTTGTCGTTCTGTTGTTTGCGTGATTGGTTTCATACCCACATGGAAACCAACATAATTAGGTTTGACTTGGTGAACGTCCTTTAACCGGGGAATAATACTTGTCTGGTATACGGTCCTCGCTT